CTCTCTCGCTCTTTCTTTCTCTCTCCCTTCTCTGACCTAACACTCGCGCTCTCTCTCTCTCTCCTCTCTCACCCCCTTGCCTCTCTCTAGATATACCCATCTTCACATAATAATATATGCTTTTCCTGTCGACATTTCGGTCGTGAGTCCTCGCCAGACATACATCAATATGTAGGTCTCAAAGCAAATATCAGTACGAAGAACCTCGCTTACAAATGTCAACAAACAAACAACTAGAAAAAAACCCACGATTAAGACTTTATTGTGAAAATGCAAAATGAAATTCCAAAAACTTACGAACAAAAAATAAAGTAAAATCAGAAGACAAAAAGTGACTTACAAAAACAGAATACACGCCCGGCCCCATTGAATTACTCTCAGGACGAGCCTAGCCTTTCTACCACTCTGCTTGGCGGATTTTGTCATGCACATTACATTATCGTCTCGGGCGTCCTTTTTATCTCAGAACTTTTCCGGGGCCTGCGTCTTGAGAGGAAAGGACCAAGGTTTTTCTAGGCCTGAGGGGGTCCCGGGTCCTCGAATCTGTGTCTCCCAGCCTGGCGCTACTTCAGAACTTTAATTACGAATCAGGGTGCGCGATAATTGGGGACGAAGCCTCTGGCAAATTTATTTCTTTGATAGAGCTTCATTAAAGACCATGATATCAAATGAAGTATTGATTGGGACGCTCTGCATCAAACGCGTATTCGTCATCTTCGCATGGCAGCGCCCAAAATCTCTTCTTGTTCAGAAAAGGAGATGAAGCTCGAGTTTGATGGTGGCTTTCCACTTTGCTCCCGTGATTTCCAGACTGCTGCTCATTGTCGCTACCCGACCGCGTGTGTCGCATGCCCAAATACAATTATGAGTTTTTTAGAGGCCAGCTCCGGACCGCTGAGAGGCAAAACAATGAGCACGTCTGCGCATGCGCCTTCTCCCCGAGACCACCGCGGAAATTGGGCGTCCAAGGGGAATCACTCTGCTGCCGACTCCACTTTCTGCAGACGAGTCCTGGTAACAATGCCCTCACGCTCAGCCCAGTGGCACTGGGTACCCAACGCCCTCTATACCTCCCTCTTCATTCCTCCATCTCCGTCTCCACCACTTTCCCTCTGTCACTCTCTCTTCTCCCCTTTGCCTCAATCTGTCCCTTTGTTTTAATTGAAAGGAAGGGGAAATTAAATTCAGACGCGGACAATAGGGCTGAGGGAGCGAGGGAAGATTGATTCACTTTCAATTTGAAGATGTGTGCTATTATGCGGAAACTGCGCCCGAGTAATTATTCTTTTATCAGTAATTTTCGCTTCTCTTCCTCTCTTTCGACTGCTTCCTCTTCTTCTTTTCCCTCCGCACTGAAGCATCCACTAACGAGGCAGTCATTGTGAGGGACAGCCCCGATCTAATCTGCTCCCCTCACTCGTGCACTTTGTTTGGTGCAGAAATGAGCAATGCGTCTCGGTTCGCGTTTTACGGCCCTGTTGACACGAAAAGATCACGATAATGTGAAGATATTGATCTGGAAAAAGAGTAATGTTGGATAGGAGGCAGACATAAGAGTAACTGTCGGCCCCACCATCGTCCCCACCATCGTCCCCTGAGGGGGTTCGAAAGCGTGTGACTTGCGTGATAGTAACATGTCTGAGCTAAAAGCATTTTCACACCGGTGTCTGAAGACAGTGTTACTGAGTGTGAAACTATAGGGGGATTTGTTGCCCATAACGCACGGACACATGGAAACACACACACACACAAACACACACACACACACATGCACACACACATGCACACACACACACACACACATGCACACACAC